TAGAAGTTTTTGTGACTGAAGAAAAAACACAAAATGCAATTAATGTCAATTTTGCCAACTTTTTTTTGTGAATTCTTAAACTTTGCGATTATAATGTTGAAAAACATAACTATGAATAAGGAAGAAGTGAATTTGTATGTCATAAGATTTTATCAGTCCTTACCAGTAACTCAATTCCGCAGAGTAAAAATTAAACGATCATTGGTTGACTAAAGCTTGAGAATACAGATATTTTACAAATAACGTAAAAATCGCGGCGCAGAAAAAATACTTTATATGTAGTATGGCTAAAATGTCGGAATGTCTCAGAGCTAGACGGCGAACGCTGCGATTTTCGTATATTATGTGTTACTGAGGGTATCGCCTAAAATGAGTGACCCATTCCCCTCTTTTCTTGTACATCTTTATAACTTTCCTTCCTTATTTGCTTGTATGGGTTTGGCAAGCTTCTAGTCCGCTCCCCAAAAAGGGAGTTAGCTAAAATTTATGAAAAGCTGCTTTTCGCAGTTAGTAATTTTCTCGCCAAAAGTTGTCCAATGGTAATTTTTTTGCTACTCGTATTACTTTCCGCTGCCCCATCTTCTCATGGCGAGGGAAATATGGTAGAAATTTGATTGAGTTGTGCGACTGATTTTTTACTGCTTTTCTGCTTTAAGAACTTTTATTGCCTTGAGAATTTTTACTGCTCCTCTGCTTCGTTTTACAAGAATTTGTGTAGTTTGGTTCTGAAAATTTTTATTACAGCTGTTCCATCACGTGTTCACTTCCGGCATTCGTCTTCTTCACCCCACGTTTTTTTCCGTCTCGAAAGCAGTTTTCCCTGCTTTCGAAATGAATGTAGCGCAGTACGAAGCTTTCAAACCAACAAGAAAGGTAATTGAGCAGTTTTCAAATGAATACAATGTTACTACCTTTGTGTTATCAAATCGCAACTCCGGTCCAAATCGATGTGTTATTGCGGCCACATGCGGATCCAGCTTTGACTTGGCGTAAAGTTTCACCAGCCAATTTGGCACCACAACACGAGAAATCACAAATCCTACAAAGTTCACTTTAAAAAAAAAACTGTAATTATTAAGTTCCGCAAATTAATCAACTCCTGTGAAACGTAATTTTGTGAGTAAGAGGATCGAATATAGGAATAAAAATTTCTCGCAATTTTCCAGTAAACTGTAAGACCTTGATTTTTGAACTCTTTATGCAGCCACTCGACAATCTGCTCGAACCAAACAGAAGGTGTTGCTGTGATGAGGATTCGCTCTCCGTCAGAATCCGGACATCTCATGGCACGTATATGTGCCCGAGCGACGTCGCGCACGTCAACCATACCAAGCGAAATTTTCGGCACAGCTGGGAATGTGCGATAATCCATCATGCGTCGTATTACCTGGAATGAATAATTTACGCAGCACTGCTGGAAATCCAGAAAAAATAATTCGCCAGCGCATGGGCTGCCCGTGCGAAGATGCTTTTTTTGCACAGTTACCCGCATTTTTGTCGCTACCAGCACCGGTTTCCCCAGCAAATGCTTCTAGCAAAACAAATTAAGACTGGCCATCAAAACTGTGAGGGAACACCCCCTTACAATATTAGCTTTCAAGCTTTCCTAGCTTCTGAGTTAGTAGTGTACTCGAAACAAACTTTCACGAAAGCGTACATGGGTACCACGCTCAGCCGGGGGCTAGGTTTGAGCTCATTAATACCTATTTGGGTGGGGGGAACATCCTATTAAGATTTCAGTCTTGTAGCTTCGCAGATTCTCGAGTTATCAACTTACCCGAAAAAAAAGTACCAGTTCTGCCGCACAACTGAGAGACATAGCCCTGTGCACCAGTGGGCTAACATAAGCAACAAAACCACCAAGTATAACAAATGCCCTTTTTTTTCACACCGAAGAAATTGAAACTGCCTGGATAGTCAAAAATGCCACGTCAGGACACTAGCAACCAGCGTATCTAATTTGATGTGAACAGAACTTCAGTGACAAGCAGCAGATTTAAAGCACCAAGATTTAAAGCCCCCTCCCCCATTAACTGTAAGTGTGAAATTTTGTGTATAATTCAATAAAAAAAAAGCAAAATTGGGCTAAAAACTTTGCGTCCACTGAATGAGTCTGTCTTTACTGTACATAGCATACAAAGACCAGCGCCCTAGAGTCTAATGAACGCTTAGTTTAGTGAGAGGGTACTGTTTGCATCACTGGCCAGCACTGTTAGTCGCGATCCACTTAGTGTTACGTTCTCGACTAGGTTTAACCCCAGTGACAAGCCATATCAAGCAAAATCTGGCAATGTGACGGGCGTGTCTACTGCCAGCTGATTTTGTCCCAATGTGGGCTGCCCGGAGTTGGCAGTCGGGACAAGTCCCAAATATGAGCTGCCTGGGGTTGGCAGTCGGGACTGATGGGTGATTTTTTTTGAGTGGGGGGTTTCTCTGGCGGAGTGGTTGGGGGCGGGGGACGGGGATGGGGAGGGGAATTGGGGGTCACGGATTGGGGATGGGGGTCAAGGGATGGGGCTGGAGTCACGGGATGAGCCTGGGGACGAGATGGGGCTCTTGTTGTGTATGTGTGTGTGACTGTGTGTGTGTGCCTGTGTGTGTGTGCCTGTGTGTGTGTGTGTGCCTGTGTGTGTGTGTCTGTCGAAGTATTTCAACTCGGCAACGGAGCAAACCTTGATGCTGAATCTCGCTAGGTTAACCGAGGATGGTACCAATTTTTACGCATATCTGAAAAATGCGTACAGGGAACGCCATGGCAGGAAAATTGCTAGTTT